TGACATTTATTAGAAGCGATGTCTAAAAAAACATTCTTCCAGGTCAAAACTACTAGCCAGAAATTACATTTTACCAGCAAAAATAACATTTTCGGATGCCCAAAATATAATTGTACTAGTAAAAATAAACTTTCAAATACCTAGCAATCTTGACAAAGATTTTAAGTGGCCCTTTTGACATTTATTAGCTTGACTGAATATGTAATTCAGATGTCTCAAATGCATTTCTTTCTAGTCAAAATAAAAGTTTAAGATATCTTAAATAACATTCTTCCTATCTAAAAATGAATTCTCACTAGGATGAATTCTAATTTCAGATCTCCATAATAGAGTTAGTGCTAGTTAAAATTACTATTTCTGATATAAAAAATGAAGACATTACAGATGTCCAGAAATCCAAGTCTTGACATCTAAAATATATTTATGCTAGAAGAAATATAATTACAGATATCAACTATTGATATATGACTAGTTAAATTAAAATTCCATATTTCTCAGTTTTAATAATGCCTATCTAAAACTTAGTTTTAGATATTTTCAAAAGAATAATGAGACTAGGAGCATTATAATTATGACTAGGTAGAATGCTTTAGTGCTATCTATAATAGAAATGTGACTAGACAGCCTTTTTAAGTTTTGAAGTATTTAAAACTGCATTTGAGACATATTCAGTCAAGCTAATAAATGTAAAATCGTCTTGCCATACTAATTCGGGTGGAATTTTACTCTGAAAGCGGATTGACGTCACCGCTGTCGCGTCTCCTGACGTCGTGTTACGTAGCCGTCCTGACGGTATGTGGAGAGTAGCAATGTCGGAGGAGGTTGGGAAAGCGGTCCAGTCGGTGCTGGAGCGGGTGAAGCAGGCGGCGGCCCGCCGGCCAAAGGTAACCGCGGCTCGGGTCGCTCCGTCTCCGGGTCTGTGCTGCCGGAGAAGCGGCGGAGGAGGTGGAGGTTATATAAGGCTGCCGAACGGATCAACCTTTGGATGGAAGGAGCTCCAGCCTCCGGCAGCACTTTCATAACACGATGCGTGACTTGGAGTGACAGCATGTTATCGCGGGATTCCCTCCATCATCTCAGTGATGAGCGCTAAGATCAAAGAGGGTGTTTGATGTTTCCCTTTGATCTTCTCCTCCATGATCTTCATCAGTCCTGTTCATTGACCCAGTTAGGCTCTCTGAGTTTCTAGGATAGAAAATAGGAGGGGGGAGGCGGGGTCCCTGACATCTGACCTCTGACCTGAAGCCTCCTCTGTCCTGCACATACAGCCATTTGTCCTCCATTGTCTCCAACGTGTCTCCATGGTTTGTCTCCTCAGACGCTCCCAGCTGTGCCCCCCCGCCTGGTAGCTGTCAGCAAGACCAAGCCCCCCGAGATGATAGTGGAGGCGTACAGACAGGGACAGCGCAACTTTGGAGAGAATTATGTGAGTACAGAAGGCCTGACCTCTGCTCCCGTCTCCATGACGCTGACCTCTGCTCCCGTCTCCATGACGCTGACCTCTGTTCCCGTCTCCATGACGCTGACCTCTGTTCCCGTCTCCATGACGCTGACCTCTGTTCCCGTCTCCATGACGCTGACCTCTGTTCCCGTCTCCAT